AATCAGGATTTTTTTTCATTCATGCTGGTTTATAAACTTTGCTTGTATACCTGTTTTAACCATTCATGCATGCTTAATAGCTCTTTCTAACAAGTCTATCTGAAGGTTAATCTAATGTCTGTATTAGGTCAATAGATTCTATAACAGAAATCTATGCAAATGGTCTATTACATGATATCAAAACTACTCAAGCAGTGATAGTGGTCATTTATTTTACCTTAATGCCCTCCTAGTATAGGGAAGATCTTGAAAGAGTGTATAAAAATGCTAATAGAGAAGGTTGAAATCTAAGAGCTATTGAATCAGTTAATCTTTTTTTCCCCTCAACTGAGAAAAAATTATAGTTAATTATAAGCACATAAAATATTGAATATAAAGTTCTTCTCTTAGTATAATGAACTTTAAAAAATCAGAATTGATATCCTACACCATTTATCAATTATTCAATTTATACATTTATTAAGGAATATATATTTAGGTGTGCAGATATGTATAATCCCTGAATAGCTTAGTAAAATAATAAAAAATGTCATAGATCTTATCTTCAAGTGTCTAACAATCTGGTGAATTGTGAAGCATACATTTAGTATAAGGAAATTCAATTTTATAGAAGTTACACTTATCATTATATTCAGAAATATATATTGAAAGTTCAATGTTTAGGCATTATGCTATAATAATAAACTGAAATAAGCAATAAAAACATTTAGACATTATAAGGGAAAAGGAAAACAAACAAAAGTAATTGTTCTAACAATGCCATACATCTGGTATTATAGTAAAAGAAAAGACAGATTTGGAAATAAGTTTGGTGAGAACTGAAGGGGAATGGAAGATTGAAAAAGAAGTCCTTTCATTAACTATCCAGTAAGTTATAAGTTAACTGACTTGTCATCCAAAACCCTACATGAAATTGGGTTGCTTACATTTCCAACCTTAATTAATGTCATCCCTATTTCATATATTTAAAAAAATCCCCCTTTTATATACATGCTTATATACACAATTACATACACAGAAAAATAATTTGCTAAGGATTAATAACCTACCCATAATTATACTCCACCATGCACATAGAGTGTTATCTATCATTTCCAGCAAATGAGATTTGCTCATGCAATTGTCTTTTCCAGGGTTTCCCCTACTCTTCAAAAACTTTCAAAATTAAGACTCCATCTTTGTCACTTTACTATGGCAGAGTTTTCTTAACCTTATTCAATTCACCATCCAAAGTCTGGTTAGCAATCATTTCGTTCTCATAAAATCCTATGCACATTACTAGTTCTTTTCATGTAATTTATATTACGATTATTTTTCTCACAACAAGATAACTTTCTTGAACACAAAGATCATATCTCATTATGATTGTAATTCCAGCACCTAGCACAAGTTGGAGTTACTAAAATATGTCCAATAGAAGTTTCAAAATTGAAGTCAGATAACACATTTGAAAAATCAGCTATGAGCAAAAATTCAGTAGGCAGATAAAGGCAGTAAGAACATTATGGGAAGAAATAGAAAATGTGAAAATGCAAAGTTGTGAGAAAACATAGTGTTGTATCAACTTACAATATAACTCAAAAATGACTTTTATTTCTGTAATATGCCTACTTCACTATTTTATCCTTACAGGAGACAACATGCTTATATTGGAAAAGTATGCAAAGTTTGTAAATCTGGGTCATGAAGTTCAGAGACTATGATTTCCTTCTGAATAACCTTCAATATCCTGTTATCAGTGGGGAAAGTAAACCTGTTGAGAACAATAGAATAGAAGGAAAACAAAGGGAAAGAAACATGGGAAAAAATTGAAGAATATAAATAAAGAATCAATTCCTCTTTGTGCTAAATATCTCCCCAACACCTGAATTCTGAATTGTGTACTGAGAAGCATTGTTCATAAATCCACAAACATTTATGTTTATCCTCAAATCTTCCACTTTACCTGTATTAATGTCTTTAATTAATGACATTCATTTCTTACTTTCATAAATATTTATTGAGCACCAAGAATATGTCTTTCCCTGTCTATAATTTGGTATATTTGACTGAATAAAATCCACATAATATCTACATTTGAGGAAATATTCAATCTAGTGAACAAAATCTACATAATTTCTACATTTGGGTTAATATTCAATCTGGGTAACGCAGAAATCCTCCTAGATGCTATCCTATCATCACAGTTTCTATGTCCATTCTAGTTCATTAGTCCCGTTCTATTCTACTTATGAAATATTATATATGTCTCTTTTTGATGTCTACAGTTACTTCAGTTTGGGCACTTATACTATTTTCATGTGAACCGCAATAACTTTTTAACACTAAGTTCCCTGTTTGGTATTCAATATGTATTTTCCATAATTTTTTTTTACAAATATTTACTCATATTACTCTATTGTCTAAAACTACTTCAGTGTTTCCACTTTGACTGTAGGAGGAAGTTGTCTAAAAAAAATCTTTCTCTTTACTCCATCTATCCCAACAAAATACCATTTTTTTAAAGTTTTCAATCCAACCATACATGACTCAGAGGAAAAAACCTTCAAATGAGCTTCTGGGGTTGATGCTTTTTGCCAAACAATCAAAGTAATCTCCTTTTCCATTTCCATGAATTGTTTTAGGGATAAGCATGTGATTTAGTTTTGGCATATGAGAAACATTGAGAGCCTTAGAGGAAATTCTTAAATTTCTTTCTTTAGTCTTAAAAAAGGTATATGGGGAAAATGACAATTCTTGTTGTGCCTATACGAGCTATATCCATCGTGCTACCAGTTTAAGAATAAAACAAACACAAATTGACGTGAAATTTAACTCAGGGATGCAGTTACAATCCCTGTAGGCCACCTTGATTCTGGACATTGAAAAAAAAAAAGTCTTTATTGTTAAGTCCACTGAAAGAGGTTTTCTCTTAGTTACATCTTTATATGTACCAGACCAGGTCTTCCCAATTTAATCCTGCTTTTCAATAAATCCTCAGCTCTATACCACCTGTTTTTGGGATTATGATTTCAATTAAACTGATCAAAACACCAAGATAATCATATAAATCACCTAGGGGCTTGTTTGAATGCAGGCTGTGATTTAGTAGGTTTGGGGTAGGACTAAGACTTCTGCATTTTATATTACACAATGTTGCTATTCCATGAATCACATTTTGATTAAGAATGGACTAAATTACCTAACATACCCTTCTTAAACCATAAAGGAAGAGAATTGACAAAACTGGTACTGAAACTGAGTTTGAGACATTTTTTTTTTGATGTCTTGTAGATCATTTCTTTAAAAAAAAAACACTAGTTCTTTGGAAATCACTTGAGTTCTCTAACAGAATGGAAAAAGTGGTCATGTATTAACACTCAGGATCAGGATTTGATATATATATATATAAAACACATATATTATATATATATATATATACACACACACATATGTGTGCATGTATAAATGTGCGCGCACACACACATATACTTAAATGATTTTACTTCATTCTTATTGTCATGCTTCCTTGGTATCTTCTGTAGGTTTCCTCTAAATGAACTCCAACAATCACCTAAATTAAGGGTTTGAATGTGATATTTTTTCTAAATTGGGTCATTAATTTTTAAATTCAATGCCATTTAGGAAGAACTCTTTAAGAAGGAGTTCCAGATAAAGTTTAAAGCAATATTAATTACTGAAAACTAGTTTCCTGCAGTTAAGGAATGCAAATTACCTAGGGTAATTGAAAATAAATTCCTACTGTTACAAAGATAAAACTTTGTTTTCTAAATTGCTGTTAAAAAATCTGACTTGTATAATTTTTCTCTATTCATTGGTTTCCAATACGCTTATTTTCTTGAAGCTGAAAAACTTTGAAATACTGATAATTAGCTTCCACAGGATTCCGACATTTGGAATATAAAACCGTATGAAATCTTTCTTTCCTCTATTAATCACTTTTCTAGTGCATTAGAAAATAAACTACATATAAAACATCAAGAAGATCATATATTACAATTGTTACTCTAATCAAGATATTAATAAATAATGCAAATAGTATAAATATTTAATAATTTATAGAATAGCATGAAGAACAAATTATTTAAACTTTACTTTTCACTGGGGACAAGATGCTGAAATTCTCCCAGTCTATATATTTAACAATTACTTCTTTGTAAGAAGAAATATACATTTAGATTTATGATTTGTGTTTACATTTGGGTGACTGTAGTTTGTTTTTAATAAGAATACAATATAATATTAACTACAGAAATATTATTTTAGTTATAAAGGAAAATCTTCAAGGTGAGTGTGGCCATATTCCTCATTCCATTTGAACTCAAAGATTAATACACTTTAAGAAAACAATATTGGGGCCTCCCTGCTGGTGCAGCGGGTTGAGCACAGCACTGTGAAGGTGTCCACAGCCTCTGCAGCACGGGTTTGATTCCCGGTCGGACAGGGAAACCCGGTCGGACAGGGAGCCACCCATGGGAGAGGTCTGTTTTCAGTCCGTCTGCCTGTTCTGCTCCCGGCTCTGTCTCTGATAAAGCCTCTCACCCTCCCACACCCCAGTTCTTGTATAAATAAATAAATCTTTAAAAAATATATTGGGAGAAGTTATTTTATATTTAATTTTGTTCGAGCGTTCTGCCCACATTGCAATTAATTAATCTGGTAAAATTCTCTTTGTTAAATTATCGTTTTACTGGAAATACTCAAAAGTCCAATATTCATAATCATTTGTGAGTGTTATATTATTTTTAATTCAATTATGACAAGTTGTTTAAAATCTTTATATAAACTGGGCTATAAGAAATATTAATGGTTGCTAGGAAGATTATTAAATTCTTCAATATTTTAATTAACCCCAGATTAACAATTAAAATAATAGCAACAACAATAATAAAAGGTGGCAATCTATTCTACTCTTCCTAGCAGGTTTGGTTTTACTGTTTTCTCCATATTATTCTATACTGTTCTAATACAGAGTACAATATATTTACCTGGCCAAACTGTTCTGTTAACATTGTCTTCTTCTAGAAGTGTTCAGAGCCCCAATATTCATACATGAGTTTGAAGAGTATGTTTGCTACTTTGGAACAAAAAGATGTATTACATTTTTTTGCTAGTTATGATGCTTATTTAATTATGAAAATATTATTTTACAATTATTATATGAGGTGGATTGAAAAGAAAGTAATGTCTCCTTCAAAGATTATTAACTTGTATAGGAATTTTAATGAAACAGTTTTGTAATTAAAACATCACAATAGCAGTAATAATAAAATAATAATAACAGGTACATTAATATGTGCTAAACTAACAAATTGTGTATTATTATTAAGACATGTCATTTTTCTGTACTCTTCCATTACACAATTATTCCCCTCCTATACACAGGGAATTTCACGAAACCATAATTTCATTTCAATATGGTTATCTTTAGTTGGTCTCTTAGACTCAGATGATTTTTTTCCCTCCCTTTCTAGACAAAGAAAATTGGGCTCTATTGTGATATTTATAGCATTTTTGTAAGAATACTTATTTATTTCCTTGTATTTCAAATGTGCCCAGAGGCTCTATGCTCTGTATCTGTAAATTTAAATGTAGGTCTAGTTATTTAGAAATAAATGAGAAAATAAATAAAATATGTAGGATGGTTGCAAGCAGATTTACAGCAGAGCACAACATATTTGACTGTTGACTAGAAAACATGGGAAATTTTGTCATCTTCAATTTTCCTTGTTGCATTCTGACCAAAACTTTCTTGACACAAATAATGATGTGTTGAACGGAGATGTGGTTTACAGAATGGTTGAGATGTATGTATATGTGTGTATGTGTGTGTTTTTCCCTGAAGCAGGATATAAGCACAGATGCCATTCATTTGGAACACTGACTACAAGTTGAACACAAAAGGTCCTGACCTCATTGAAACAGTTATTTATGGTGAGGCAATGTCTGCAAATAGCATCCATTAGGACTAAATGTTTATTGTATGAGATGGGGAAAGTTACCTTCACACTAAAAATGTAATATACAGATTTGGTGCCTGCTCTTGAAATTATTGCCTTTTGTAAAGAAAAGTTTCATTTGCTCTCAGTTCTGGGAATTATACAATGCATTCTCCTATCACCAGAAATCAGCCCTGGTAGAAAAGACACAATTTTCAAAGTAGAAAGAATGCCAATATTTGAATGGATTTATTTCAAATTGTTCTTAACAGTGCATTTCCTTCTCAGATCCATTTATATTTTAAAGCATGTCTTAGCAATGCATATATATTTTTACTTATACAAGTAATACTTATATACAAATGTTAGAAGTTGCAGAATCAAAAATATATTGAGTAATTAATTTTACTAAAGCTGCCAAAATGTTAATGTAAATGTCAAAGCTCAGGCTTAAGTATACATTTCCTTACACAATCCTATCAACTCTCAGAAAGAGCTAGAGGAGTCAAGCTATAAGAAAGGAAATCAGTTATGACAGAGAGAGTCCAGGTCTACTATGTTCCGGGCTTGACTTGGAGGAACTTCTGATCAAACATTTTTAACATATGTATGTTAATAATTAAAAAAAAAAAACTACATTTTGTTGGTATGGAAATTAAATCTCACATAAATCAAATATTTTGCTCAAAGGTATTTCACTCATGACAATCTGTGTTTTGATATTAGTGCTGAGGATGCAAACAGATTTTTAAAATTAAAATTCTGATAAATGTTACAACATGGATGAGCTTTGAAGACATTAAACAAGTGAATTAAGCAGACACAAAAGGATAAATACTGTTTGATTTCACTTGTATGAGGTACCTAGACTAGTCAAATTCATACAGCCAGAAAGTAGAATAGGTTACCAAGATCTGGAGGAAGGAGTGATGGGGAGTTACTGTTTAATGGGTACAGATTTAGTTGAAGATGACAAAAAAGTTTTTGGAGATAGATAGTGTGATAGTTGCATGATAATATAAATGTACTTATAGCCACTAAATTGTACACTTGAAAATGGTTGAAATGCTAATTGCATGGTATGTATAGTTACCAAAATCAAACAAAACTAATCTTAAAAAATAAAATTAAACACACAGATGAGGCAAAATGTAACATTAAGCTGACAAAATTTATGGCACACCTATGATGTCTAAGTTCTTATACTAGGTATGCTGGAATTTTCAAAAACATTTGAAAAATCAGTACACATGGAAAAGACTAAAACTAGACCACTCTCTAGCATAATACTCAACACAACTCAAAATGGATTAAAGATTAAAGACTGGATGTAAGATCCGAAAAAAGAATACATAGAAAAAACATAGGCAATATATTCCTTGACAACAACTTTAGAAATGTGTTTGGGGACTCCACTTCAATGCCAAGGAAAATAAAAGTAGAATAAACAAATGGGGCAATATCAAACTAAGTGCTTTTGCATAGCAAAATAAACCTACATAAAAAATGAAAAGAGGGCCTCCCCGATGGCGCAGCGGTTGAGCGCTGTATTGTGAAGCTGCCCACAGCCTCTGTGGCAGCGGTTCGATCCCCGGCTGCTCCCCGGCCACCGGAGGAGGGTCCCACATGACGCGCAGACCTCTCCTGCCGCCCCTGCTGCTCCCCTCAGCAGTGTACTTCGGTCCTTCTGCCTGCTCTGCTCCCCACTCTGGCTCTGGTGAATTCTCTCACCCTCTCACGCTTCTGACTGTACCCAGTGCATGTATAAACAAACAAACAAACAAATAAATAAAAAAAAAATGCCAAAAAAAAAAAAAAAAGAAAACATACCCTACTAAATGGGTGAAGATATCCATGTATCACATGTTCCACAGGAGGTTAATATCCAAAATATACAAAGAACTCACAAAATTCAACAATTTAAAAACAAGCAACCCAATTTAAAAACAAGCAAAAATAGGTAGAAAATTTGTCTAGACACTTCTCCAAGGTATACAGGTGGGAAATGAGAACATGAAAAATGTCCATTATATCTCATTATTAGAAAAATGCAAATCAAAACGAGATATCCTCACACCCACAGCAATGGCTATTACCCAAAAGACAAGAAACAAGTGTTAGAAAGAATTTGGATAGAAGAGGGGCTCCCTGGTAGCTCAAGGGGTTAAAATTATAAAATGCCCATATCGCATGCTATTGCCAACTTGGACTAAAATATGTAGATATTATATATGCCAAATGAAAGGCAGTACCTTACAAAATGATTTCTCTGTCAGAAGAAATGTAACATTTTGAAAGATTCATGAGAAAAATCCATTCAAATTAAAACTTTTTGGTCCTGCTAGGAATAGTAAACTTTCATCATTAATAAAATCCAAATTATAAGAATCACTGACTCCCCATGATCCCGCGGTTAGATTAAAATGTGTAACTGCCAGAAATAAACAGAGAAAATTCCTTTTCAGGACACTGACATTTATTTCTATTTGAGTCTTGTTAAAGGTCATTCAGTTTCTTTGCTTGCAGTTTGTTTTCATTATCTTGCAAGCAACTTTGGTGAATTAATTCATTTAATACTGTGAAGATGAAAATTGATTTGTATCAGATCATCTCTTTCTATAGATAATTTGCTAATTTTGAGAAACATTTCATTCTTATTTACAACAAGGAAGAGGGGGATGGAAAAGATTGAGGAGAAATGGATGATCAAGGAAATTGAACATTAAATAAGAGCATTATCTTTCTTTTTTTTTTACTGACCACATTTTTATTTTGTTTTATAATAGTACATGCTAGGAAGAAATGATTACTATTAAAACTATCAAAAGCCAAAGGGAAAACAAAATAGAAGTATGAACACTGCTAGAAACAGCATACTCAGACTCAAGTAAAAATATCAGCAGAGATGTAAAGTATGTGTTCAAACTAAGACTGACTATAGCAAACATGGAGAAGGTAAAATTATCTCTGCAATACCTTATAGTTACAAATGCAAACAAAACAGAAGTGTAAAGTTGATAAGAGAATAGAATGAGCGTGATTAGATCAATTCTATTAAAAGCTATGAAAGACAATAAATGATTCAATAGAAGTAATCTACATCCAGGTTTGTTCAGTAATCCACTAGAGGTCTTTGTCAAAATCTTTTGACAAGCTAATTAAAAGTAGACAGTTATGCAGCATTTGGTGTTTACCTTTGTGAAATGAATCAACTCATCTTCAAGTTCCTGTATTCATATTTTCTCCACTGTCCTGTCATAGTGACCTTTATGGTACAATACTATGAATATGCTGCATATTCATCAAGACAGTCTCAGAGTCACAATGAAAATAAACTGTCCCCAGAAAAGATTTTTAAACATTTAACTCAATGAAATGAACATACACTGGCCATTGAAAATGTCCTGGCTATTGAATAGAGTGAAAGAGGCCCATAAATGAAAGTCAAATTCACTGCCCTTCATGAGCTCAAGGTATACGAAATATTTCAAAAAAATGTAGCCTGAAATTTTCTTTGTTATATTGCTTCTTAAATATTTTTATGTGAGTTAATGGGATATATTTTTCTCAGGATAATTATGTTTCTTTTACTATACTGAATTCCTCATAGCAATATATATTAACAACCTACAAATCCCAAAAATGGTTACTAAAATAAGGAAAAGATAGGGAAAGGGTTGATTTCATTTTGTTGCTGGTTTTAATACATATTTTGGAATAATTTTCTAGTGGTTCCATAGGATAAGCTAATGCCTTGAGGCTAATAAAGTTTATATTTTCCCTAGTGCCTTACAAATAAGTAGAAACTAGAGTAAACTATCTTTTACACCAGTAATGTCCTTCAGGGTCATTTTTGCTTTAAAAAACTCTTCCTATCTAAAGATTAAAAATAGGCCAACTTTTCTTCTAGTACTCCATCGCAAATTCTTGCTAACAACTAGGCCAGGGAACTCAGCCACACCAGCTGTTTCTCCACACTGCTGGTTTAAAAAAATATAGATCTACTACAGAGTTTTGAGTGTTTTGAAAAACATTCTTGAATGAATATCGTTTGGATAAAATGGACAATCAGAAGCTGACTAACGTACAGGAAGTATTTCTTTAAGCAGATATAGGCATATGAGAAATAGCACAAATT